TGTACATGGATGCATATATATTTATGAATATTCGTAGAATATCGTACGGATATACAGGGTGTTGAAAAAAAGGGTTACATACTTTGATAAGAGGTAGTATTGGTCAAAACAAGAAGAAAAGGTCTAATTAACATGGGTCCTAAGACTAATATCTTCAGAGATACAAGCTATTTTGTTATTTGAGCTCTTTGGCATTTTCTTATTAGTCGTGTCATCTTTAGAATGTAATGAACGTCTCAGAGAATGACGCACTCTTTCAAGTCATGCACCATCACTTCATTTCTCTCGCCTGATATTTACGTTTGATTCGCAATAGACACCACAAGTCAGGAAGATAAATGATTACATTTCATAAAATAAAAATTGTTTCTTTATCTCTCTTTGTTTATTTCTTGTTTTTAAAGTACCTAGAAAAAAGATATCCCCATTGTACCCCATTCTTCCCTACTCCTTTGTTCATTACATTCTAAAGATGACACGACTAATAAGAAAATGACAAAGAGCTCAAATAACAAAATAGCTTGTATCTCTGAAGATATTAGTCTTAGGACCCATATTAATTAGACCTTTTCTTCTTGTTTTGACCAATACTACCTCTTATCAAAATATGTAACCCTTTTTTTTCAACACCCTGTATGTGGTATGTATATTCATTCGAAATGATAGGAGGAATATACATAAAATATACCTCTTGTACATTCTATGAATGTTCAACTAATGCAGGTATCTAGATATGCAAAATACTGCTGTTACTATAGTGTTTTTCTATTAGGGAATTGTGGGTGTCCAATCCATTATAAAAAAAATCATTATTTCATATCTAGTAAAATTATAGCTATAGCCATAGCCATTTATTATCCCTACATGTAATTTTCCGGCTATTGAATTATTGAATGAAGAAATAAATAATGATAAAAAATATATTTTTAAATATAATATACATATACCTTTTATTAATAGTAATAATTTTTATTATGAGTTCATCAAACTGGTCGATCTGTTCGTTTGTAAGCTGGAACCCAGAAAGCATTTTGACATCCAATGTATATACATTGCATATACATCAGTGTTGAGATATGTGCGAATGCAATGCGCTGTACATGCAATGTACATCCATGCAATATACATGTGTATATTTGCCGAACATTCTATGTACATGTATATGTGAGTATATTAAAGAAAACATGATTACTGAACAATTTTATTATTGAGTGATGTGCAATTCCGTAACCATTACTGTTGACCACCAGCATTAAAATAATATGTAAATAATATGTAGCCTAACAGTAGGGTAGATAAAACATGTATAAATAGTTAGCTCAGCGTTAGCGTGCTAGGCTAGTAATCCGAAATCTTAGATTCGAATCCCACAAAGCGTTTCCAAAAATTGTAACATAGTATGGATTTTTCTTAATTAGAATTAAGGAGATAGAGTGTGTGTATGTGTGTGAAATTATGAATATATATTAAATTATAAAAAAATTATTAAAAAAAACTCTCTAGTTGAAAATTTTTATTTTTTTTTTCAATAAAATCTTGTATCAAAACCATTACTGGTTTTTATCGTAATGATTGTGGAAATACAGTACTGATTCAATACTGGATTAGTAAGTACCTAACAGTCAATCAGTTGAACTATAAATTATTGTACAATAAATATATACATATATATACTTCTCTGTATATTCACATACACATGTACATAGAATGTTCGGCAAATATACACATGTATATTGCATGGATATAAATTGCATCTACAGCGCATTGCATTTGCACATACCTACGATATCCAATGTATGTCGTTGATATATCACTGCATGTTCATAGGATATGTCATATACACTGATGTATATGCAATGTATATACATTGGATGTCAAAATGCTATCTGGGTAACAATGCAGTTAATTCCTTTTACGCGTTAAGATATTTATTTCTTTTTATTAGTACGTAAAATTAACAGATGACAAATCAGATAAGGATTTTAAATAAAGCCTTTAAATTCTTTCTCGATTATCTGTTTCAAATAATGCCAATCATATTTTCTACTTCGTTTAATAGTGTCTACATATATTGAACATGTCTAGAGATATTTTAAAAAATTATTGCACATTTCGCAACAGATACAGGAAACAAATCATGTTGTAGAAAATCGTTTCCCAAATTGTAATTTGATTATTTCAATATGTACTTCTTAAGAGAAGTCTAAATATATTACTCGTATAATTTTATTTCTTTACTGCTCTACAGACATTATAATTCTGATTAAATAAACTTAATTTTAAAAAGGCTTTAGTTTAATGTGCTAAAATGATTAGAAATCACCTATACTATATAATAACCAATTCTATGTACAAATGTCTTCTGCATTCTTAACAATATTAAAAAGTTTACTTACCAGCGCATCAGCGGTAGTGTTTAAGGCTACCTTTAAATAAATTTCTTCATCCTCTAGTAGAGATTCTAGTGGTAGAATTTCGATCCGTCCGAATATCTTGCGTGTCTCGCGGTCGATCGTGTATGTAAGGTATTCCGGGCACAAAGTTGTACCATGTACCATGGTACAAAGTAAGTGCGGCAGCAATACGAGTAAGATAAAAATCTTAGCCATCTTGTGAGATTCTGTTACAAAACTAACAAAAATATATACTTTCTAAGTCTTGATTTAGAAAACTTAATTATACCGAGTTCGTAATTTTTCAAGCGTTGTAACATTAAGTAATTTAACAGATGTTGGAATGTTGCCGATATGAGCCGAGTCTCTGTTGGTACTCACAGATCTATTTATATCGACCTACGTTTAATACGTCATGAAGAGGTTAGATGAGATAATTTCGCTTTTGTGACTTTATTCACATTTCAGTTGGTACGAACATTTATGTTTTAATGATTATTACAATATTTCATATCAATCCGCGTTCGGAAAATTGTGCAGCCTAATTAAATGTAATCTTTTAAAATAATTAATCGGTGCAGCTTTAATGACCTTGCTAAACTATCAGTTTCGTGAAACAATTATTTTTCCCTACGATATTGTTCGGAGAAAGTATATTACTACGCAGATACACCTTGAGATTCGACGAAGTAGCGGGTGCTTTAAATCATATTAGAAAACAGAGAGTTTGTGACGTTAGTGATGAGCGATATGGTATACAGAAACGGATGTGCATAGCGGATGCGTATTATGAGTGCACCCAATTAAGCAAACCAAACTGAAAAATTTAACGACTCACGTGTTTAGGAGGAATCACTTTAATCGTTCATTTCTCCAGTCGATTACATTTAAAAAGAACACTATCCCGTATAGGAAACAGACACCTGCCCGTGAATCAGATTTTGCATTCTACGAGCATACATTTATCTTGCGCTGTGATTATTCACTAATTGCGAAACCGGTTGTGGCGAGTATAATTGCCGTTTTATCTAACGATCTACAAACTCCGATGAGATACAACGCGCTTTTAACGTATAACCGCTTTGCTTTCTGCTTTATTATTTCACTTTGTCGCATCTTTTTACTGTCATAATAATATTTTTATGTTTTATTTTTTTATTATCTTTCACCTTCCACTTTGTTTAAGTACCATACTGCATTTTCTTATCAATAATTAGAATACGCTTCAAGCTGCGCGTTATATTTCAATATTTTCTCTTTTACAACTTATTTATTTATATGCTTTCGTACTTATTTCTTTCTGGTACACTTTCTTCAAACACTTTCTTGCGAGATATTCGAAAGAACTCTTCTTAACGTGTCAAAGTAAAATTCAAAATACTGCGGCGATTGGTTTCAGAATGCTAATTCTCGGACCGATGTTACTACACCTTCAACGTATCTTCGTAAGACTAACCAGTTCTTTTGAAACGCTTCGAAACATGTTTATAGTGTTCGTGGTGTGTTGACCCGTTTGACTGGTGCAGTAGTGGGGACTTTACCGAGAGTAAAGTGATGATAAGTCGATTGACGTCACTTAGGGCTGGTTTTTCCAACCTCTTGGTAACCTAACTAACAGTTAAATTATACGTTTATCTTTGTCTAATTTAAAAGAAAAGCAAAGAAATAAGATTTAACTATTAGTTAACCTATTACGAGGTTGGAACAACCGGCCATTGGTCTACAAAGGAGCACAAAAATTATTCCACATGAATGCAATGAGGATAGTATAATGGACAAGTATGTTTCAAAACATCCTTTCCTCTTTGATGAATTTGTAGAAAAGAAATTGGAGAATTGTGGCGGACGCACGTCCGATGAGACAAGCTTGCCAAAAGTACAACTGCTAGAGAAGCCAAAGATATATTAGCGATTGTTTTTTCAATTACATGAATACCCATTAAATTTTCTAATGCTCGCCAAATCTCACACAAATATTACCTACACTGAGAAGAAAAAAGTTGAATTAAGAAATATTCTAAAAAATTATAAATAAAAAAATTCTCAAGAATTGTAAGATAAAACTATGTATTGCAAATAACAATAATATCAAATGTTGTTCCATAATTTATTTAATATACTGGTATGAATTGATTTCACATTCAGAAACGGTATGATTGCGAACGAGGACAATATTGAACCGTGATCCTATCAAGAAACGATCATAAAGTACGAATTCAATTTTTTCTCTCACTCTTCCTTATCGCATTACCTAGTTAACCTAGTAATTCTGCGTTTTAAGACCAGCAAACAATCGAAATCTAGTTTACGCAGTTTAGAATAACTATACCAAAATTTATACAGTATTATTAAGCTGTGGATAAATAGTTCTGACCAATACTTAACATATTTATTATTTACATACGTTATTTACATTTTTAATTGTTTTGTTTCACTTATTCACATAAATATTTCTTTTTATTTTTGAAAAAATGTTGAATGTTTGTATATCAGTAAGCATATTGTAACATACGTCTATCAAAATTTATCCTTCGCTATTAATAAGTTCACTATGGCAGATACACGCATGTTACTCATGTTTTCTGTTTTAGTGTCAAGGTAGACATATTACGGCAAGAATCGACGTATATAATCAAAAGTGAAACTCGTAAATGTGTAGTCTTCATGCGTAGCTATGTACAGTGGCTTCGAATAAACTTTACATTAAGAAAACTTATCGGCTAGCACGTATTGTAGTTTTTGGAGAGAGACCAGCGTTACGTTGAAATCTCTTGATGAATCCAGGATTTGTATTGGGCTAAATTAACGTAGACGATGTATATTTTTTATCGCAGATCAAAGTGACATTTGCAGAATACGGAGTCAGGGAAAGAATGCCGCGCAATTGATAACGACCCGTGTTACTGTCCAGAAGCTGTCCAGAAGCACTGGCCCGCTCTCGCTGTCACCGTGGCAAGGACTGACTTCTAGCGAACCGGCGCAAAAAGTGCGCGGCGAGGTGATATCGTCGAACGAACGATTGCTTCGAAGACAGGTCTCCTGTAATTTACGCAACAATGATTAATCGGATCATCTACACAATTTTATACAATAGTGTGGAATACATAACGTTTTTTATATGTCGTTGGAATCTTGCTATTGTGCAGAATTGCGTTGTTCAAGGCTGATCACCAACATTCAAGTACGCATCTTTATCGTGTGATCAAAAACAATTGGAACGTTGGTCAGTTTAACTCGGGGCCTACAATGACTTTGACAAGCCCAGTTTGACATAAAAATAGACAATGATAATAATTTTGTAATAGTAACTAAATGTGACTGTACAAACGTAACGAAATTAAATGGAGTATCACGCGCTTTATTTTTAGAAGATCGTTTACGATTGCAATTTAATTCGTATGTCGAACAATCAGCGAAACTTGGAAAACCGGTTCTCGCGAAGGTGCTTACCTGATTCACTATTGTTACTCTAGTCATCCGTTGTTCGTGAACATAAAAACGACCCAACGCGTCTTCGCCCCATCCTACGATATATCCTGTTCTATTGACGACGTCATCAAGACTGAACGAACCGGACCATAGACAAATAGGTTTGATTATAGGGCTAAACTCGATGGGCTGCTTGAGGATTAAAATTGCTATGTCGGAGTCGGCGTTGCTCTCAGATGTACATTCAGGATGAATATTGTAGCTCATGATCTCCGAATTGCCAATTCAGTCTCTGCGATATTGGCGCAAGTCAATTTGTTCCATAAGTACCTCCAACACGTCGGGCTTTAGGAAACGTTTATTGTCCAACAGACAATGCGCCGCTATAACGAGAAAATATATGTATGTATAAATTACATTTTCTTATAATCTGCACTTTCTATTCGGATGTATCCTATAAATCCTTCCGTATTACATTATATGTGTAATGTTCTTTTAGTTAGTTTAAATACCTTATTAATATTACGGAAAGTAATTATTTATGCGTATAAAATATTTTAAATAAATACTTATGATAACGCAGCCCTCTTTACTCTAAATTATGTCAAGTTGTCTTGGATGTATAAAGATAATTGCGAGGACATATGCTTATTCAGTAATTATACTAGATACTTTATTTCTCTTGCATGTTCCCTGATTATTCAGGTGAATTTTTAGTATCTAGAAAAATGTATGGAATTCTATTTGATTACGCAGATAAGAATAAGAATCTCACTATTGAGATTCAAGAAAGCAGATGTAGGACAAGAAGTTCACATGGCTCGACATAAAGAGCAATAATAATTATTCATTATAGTTGCGTATTTCTTTGGAAACATAGAGCGCAATTACCCACGGCCATTGTCCTAGTAGTGTGTTCTCACCGCTAGGGCGAAGATTGTTTGTGTTATCGGTGTAGTAGTTGGTGATACCATATTCATCGTTGTTCGGAAAAATCGGATTGTGAATACGGATTGTGAATCTGGTCATATTTTGATGCCATGGCTGAAAATTCTGCGATGTGGCTCTTCGTTTTTTTTCTTAAACTGAGAAAGGAAATTTTATTTTCTTTCGAGAAAAGAAATTATTTCAAAACACAATAAAAGCTTATAATATTTTTTAATAATAAAGTTTAACTTATATGTATATAAAGAAAATAGAGACTAAGCGTGCCTGGAACATCTTTTCCTCTTGACCGGTTTCGAAGAAAAAAAAATGGGGAATCCACAGACGCACATTCGATGAGTCAGTCAGCTCGTTAACTTTTCAACTTGACCGAGAACCCGAAGACTTTCCACTGCACGCTAATCTTACTTTTTCTGTTTTGTTATGCTTACTTTCGGTTCAAATCTTTCATTACATAACATTTTAACAACTTCTCAAATCGCCGTAAGAGGAAACTTTTTCTATAACTTTATTTAATTGCAATTCTAGTTGAATCGCATTCAATCAGAAAAAAACAGACAAAAATTTTCAGAAATTATAAGATAAAACTGTGTATTACAAATAGTAAAAGTGGGAACGACACTAACTACGAATGTAAGTAACATTAAAATTAGATCTTATCACAAAAGCACTGTTCAAACACTGTGTGATTTCAGTCCTTCTGCCTCTCAGATTGCCTTACCTTATTACGATGTACAACATGCCTTTAAAAAAGTAACAAGACTCGAGTATTTAAAATAATAATAATATTTATTTAATGCATATATATATACCTTAAAATATTATTTCAGACTATCTAAAAATATTGAATGTATGTATCGGTATATTGTTCATAGTTTTATTTCTAATTACTAATAAAACTGCTATAGCAGATAGTTATAGTGTGGTTTATGTTACTGATAGATTATTAATACATCAGTAACATATCCTAATGTTAAAATAAATGCATTACAACAAGAGAATTGACAGTAAATGTTCAAAAGTAAAATTCGTATCTGTTTAATTCTCGTGCTGTACATAATTGTTCATAAATGATACGAATTGGGATAAACTTTACACCAAAAGATTTCTTTACTAGCATGTATTGCATTTTGAGACGAGAGACCAGTTACATCGAAATCTGTTGTTGAATCCAGGGTATGTATTTGGCTGTATCTTCGTAGACGATAAATGTTTTTTGATCGCAAAGCAAACTGATATCATTATTAGGAAATATAGTTCGCGAAATGATACCGCGCAACTGATAACGACCTGTGAGATTGTTCAGAAGCACAAACCCGCTCCCGCTGTCACCGTGGCAAGGACCGGCTTCTAGCGAGGTGGCGCAAAAGCTACGATTCGAAAGGAGCCGAATGAACAAATGATCGCTCCGGAGACAGGTCTCCTGTAATTTGAGCAACAATGTTGGCTCATCATCATTTACACAATTTGATCTACAACGATAGCGAAATACATCAATGTTTTTCATATGTATTATAGTTAGGATCTCGCATTGTGAGCAATTGTGTTGCAGCAAGATCGGTCGCGAAATTTCAAGAGTGCATTTTTACTACATGATTAACTATCGTGCTTATCGATTCAAATGGCGTATTCGTCAATTTACAAGTCCATTTGTCATGGATATATGCAATGATAATAATTTCATAATAGCATGAACTCTAATTTACCGTGTAAACGTATTAAAATTAAATGGAATATCATTGCTAACAATGTTTAAGTATTTCTCTGTCGTGACATATTCGGACATACGTCGGTATTGTTGTCATCAAGGTGCCACACATTTGCAACGTTTTGTTTTAAATTAAAAGGATCGCCCGATTGCGATTGTGAATTCGTATGTTCATCGAACAATGAACATCGGGAAATCAGAAAATCCAGTAAAGGTGCTTACCTGATTCACTATTGTCACTCTCGCCATGTGTTGTTCCCCGACAGCACGACCACGCAACGAATCTGGGCCCCAGCCCACGACGTATCCTGTGCTATTGACGGCATCACCAAGAGTTATTGAACTGGACCATAGACAAATAGGCTTAATGAAAGGGTTAAACTCGACGGGTTTCTTCAAGATCAAAATAGCCAAATCGGCGTCGACACCAGTCGGTAGATAGTCAGGATGGATAACATATCTCGCGATCTCCGGATTGGAAATTCCATTTCGGCGAAACCGGCGCAAGTCAGTGTGCCCTACGATTACCTCCAACATGTTAGGGGGTAAGCTACGTTGAGAGTCTTTCATCACACAATGCCCAGCTATAAGAAGAAAATATTGTATATGTATGTACATTTTAATAATCCGTACATTCTATCTAGAAATATCCTGCACACCCTTCCGTATTATTTAATATATCTGATATTGTAATTAAATGTCTTATATTAATTAGTATAACAGAAAATAATTATATATGTAAAATATTTATAATCAATATTTATAGTGACGCAGCGTTTTGAACTTTCTATAAAATTTTCAAGACATCTTGGATGTGTTAATGCTAATCTCGAGAATGGTGATTAAGTAATTATTTTCAGATACTTTATTACTACCACACATATTCCCTAATTATATTCGGGTGAATTGTGATAAATGTCTGCGAGAATTAACAGAATTCTATTTTATTACGCAGATAAAATTAAGAATCTTACTTTAAAGGCAACAGAACGAGAAGTTCACATAGCTCGATATTCGAGAAGCACAATTTTTACTAATTCTTTTCGATTAGCATAATACCTGTTATTACGTGTCTGTTTGTCAAGATGGTACCACCACATTTATAATTATATATTGCCCTGAAACTATCTTCTCTGTTTTCCACGAAGATTGCAACCACCCACGGCCATTGTCCTGGTAATGCGATATCACCGTTGGGGAGAAGATTGTTTGTGCTATCGGAGTAGTAGCTGGTAATACCGCATTCGTCGTTGTTATTGAAAATCGGATTGTTTATACGGTAGCTGGTCACATTTCGATGCCATGGCTGAAAATTCTGTGATGCTTGTTCTTCGTTTGGCGAGTACATAATATGCCCTAACTCGATATCAGCTCTGATATTTCCATTTAACACTGCCAAAAGACAAAATGTAACATATATCTCTTAAGTCGCATTTTCTTTTAGATGAGAAAAGTTTGAAAATATATAATATGTATGATAAGAGGAAACTTTTAATTGTTTTAATGAGAGCCTTATTTAGTGAGTTTTGTCTTCCTATTTATCTCTGCTATATTAATTGAAAATTACGCACAATGTTTTGCGAGTGAAAACTTCATGGGACTCATTATCAAAGGAACTAATAACTTGCTTCTATTTTCCGCGAATATATGTGATGCCCCTATATTCTATTTTAAGTAAATGCATTACTTACCTTCAGGCTCTACACAATATTGTTGGTTGTTAAACCATATTGAGGATAATGTTGGAAAATTTTCGCTCGAAGGAAAATGAACATGATACAACAAATGTCTGCTTTGTTGAACAGCTTGAATGGATTCTTTTATCGGTCGTGCCAATTCTAATCGAAAGGTTTCGTTCTGGAACACAATTGTTATTGTATTTTAAAAAGGATTTTGTAACGTGCTAAAATTATTAGATATCGCCGGAATTAATAGCCATAAACTTATATGTATAAATTTTTGTATCCTGCTTTCTTAATTAACATAAAAAAAACTTACCAGCAAGTCTGTGGTAGCATTTAAGGCTACTCTTAAATAAAATTCACCATTTTTTGGCGGAGATAGGATTTCGATCCGTCCTAATATCTTGTATGTCTTAGGATGGATCGTGTATGTGAAATATTCCGAGCACGAAATTCTACCATGTACCATGGTAATCGTTAGGTATGGCAGCATCACGATGAAAATAAATATCTTAGCCATCGTGTAAAGTTCTGTTAAAAAACTGGTAAAATCCAAATTTTCTAAATTATATAATTTTAGAATACACTTATTATTACACACTGTATTTGTTATTTGCTGGATAATCTTCGAGGGGATCAAACGCTTCACCTATGATCTTGAACCCACGTTTCATATGTCACAAGTAGATTAGATAAAATAATGTCGCTTTTGTAACGTTATTCACTTTCTAATTAGTATGAACATTAACGAACATTACAATATTTCAGATTAATCTGCACTCGAACGGTTGATGAGCTTAAATAAACCCAATCTTTTAAAAGAATTTTTAAAAACAATTCAAATTTAATAACTTCTCTAAGCAAGCAACTTCATCTATAAATGAACTGTTCATCCTCAATCATTTGTGAAAAAAAATATCATTATACAGGGTGTCATTGAATATTGGGGACTGTTTTAGTGTGCAGGTAGAGCGGACTAGACCGAATCGAAAAGTCCTGTACCATTTTGCAATTTTCGCAATAGATAACGAGTAATGAATTATTCAAAATTGTCGTCTTAGCCCGGCCCACCTCCCAATTCGAGCTTTCGAACATTTCGAACTTTCCGTGCGCCTGGTAATATCAATCGCCGGGCGGTCACATCTCGCCACGCGCTCGAATTGGGAGGTGGGCCGGGCTAAGACGACAATTTTGAATAATTAATTACTCGTTATCTATTGCGAAAATTGCAAAATGGTACAGGACTTTTCGACTCGGTCTAGTCCGCTCTACCTGCACACCAAAAAAGTCCCCAATATTCAATGACATCCTGTATATGTAGATGTTGAGATATAAACGAAAAAATACTTCATATTACTAAACAGAGTATGGGACATTGTAGTAACGCCAGATATTGCATATAGAGTCAATAGCGAATGTATATTACGCAATATGTGCCGGCGATAAAATAACAAATGTAAAAATTTTAAGACCTGTCTTTTGGAAAAATCACTTTAATTCTTTTACTGTCATAATAATAACAGAATTATTATTTATCTTTTGCTATTTTAAAATACCAGACTGCATTTTCTTATCAATAGTTATAATGTATTTCAAGCGTTCCGAGTTATACTTTGATATCTTGTCTTTGATGCCTTACTTATTTGTTATGTTTTCATACTTATTATTTTCTATTACACTTTTTTTAGACACTCTTGTAATTCTAAAATATTCTTCTTAATGTTTCGACGTGAACTTCAATGCTGCGGCGACTAGTTTCACGTACTTATTCGGAATACTAAATCTCGGATCCACTCTGCTACACCTTCACTGTATGTTTATAAGACTAACCAGTTTTCTGTCGGAACCGTTTAAAACATATCTATAGTTTTCATGTTGTAGTCGCATTTGACTGGTGCGGTAGTGGGATATCGAAAGTTAAGTAATGATGAGTCAATCACGTCATTTAGTTTATAAGGCAGCACACAAGTCGTACGTAAATGCAATAAGGGAAATAGAGGATAAGCACGCTTGGTACATCTTTTCCTCGTGTTAGATGATTTTATAAGAAAAATGCGGGGAAATCTGTGGACGCATGTCCGATGAGACTAGTTCGCAACAACGCAACTTATTGACGAAGACTTATTAGCGTATTTCTTCAATAACATGATATCCACTAAGTATTTTCCAATGCTTGCTAAGTCTCACATACTGTTTTATTAGGCTTACACTCGATTCGAATGTTTTGTTTTCACATGTAAACAACTTCTCTAATGGCCATAAGTGGAAACTTTTTTCATTTAATTTAATTGCAATTCTAGTCGAATTGCATTCAGTAAGAAAAAGACGGGTAATAAAATTCTCAGGGACTATAAGATAGGACCATGTATTGCAAATAATAATAATAATAATAATAACAGATGTAATTCCATAACCTATTTAACATACGTGTATGAATTGATTTCGCATTCAGGAACGGTTGCGAACGTGAACAATGTTAAGCGTGATCCTATCAGAAAACATTTTTATAATGTGTGATTTCAGTTATTTCTCTCACTTTTCCTCATCATATTATCAAGTTCAACTTATCTAAGAAAATGTGAGGTAACGCGCGTATTTATTAAAAAACAATATTTATTAATACATGTATTGTAAAATATCTGTTCCGTCAAATTGTGGAACTGTGTTTTAAGACCAACAAGCAATCGGCGCGTAGTTTACTGAGTTTGAAATAACTAAATTAAAATTCACATAGTATTATTTGGCTTTGAAGAAACAGATCTGACCATTAATTATTATTATTAGCAAATTTGTAGTTATTTTTTCAGTTCTGTTTCACTTATTAATACATATGTATATGTATTGTTTCGATTTTCGAAAAATGTTAGAGGTGTATACTGTTAAGCATATGGTAACACGTATTATGATTTACTCTTCATTAATATAAGTTTACTTTACTAGATAGTTACACGTCCCTGCATATTACTCAGGTATTCCATTTCAGTGTCAAGATAGACATATTACAAGAGGAATCGGCATAAAAATTCAAAAGTAAAACTCGTAAATATGTTCAGCTTTTATGCGTAGCTGTGTAATAAACCTTACAGAAATGTAAGCGAAATAATTTCTAGTAAATTACTGTACATGAGTAATTTTTAATTGTTCAATTATTGAACTAATTATTCAGTATAATTATTCAGTTTTTTGTTCCCAGTATACATATGTATAGGTACGATTCTGTAAGGGAACCTCCATGAAAAAATATACATGTAAAAATATATTTAAAGTATATGTAATATATTACATACATTTTAAAATATATATGTTATATAAATTGCATATATACATATTTGTATATATATTCTTGAGTACAGTAGAAATATACCTTCTTTACTTATATTCGTCATATATTTTAAACGGCCAAAATGATTTAATTTTATATATGCAGGCATATATTTCATATACATTCTAATACATCTATTTTATATATTAGATGATGTGTTAAAAATATATTTGGCACATTTTATGTAAATATACAGTATTTTCTTATATTTCTTCTATATCATAGGCGGCAAATATGATTTAATTAGTTATATGTATTCTTATATTTTATATATACATTTATATATATTAACGTGTAAGTATTGATATATTATATAATATATTTTAGGATATATACTTTTTCATGGAGGAAGTACCGCAACTTCGAATATATTGTACATAAAAAATCTTAGAGACACATCTTGGGGACGTATATTGCATTATGCGGCAAGATAACGTTACATCAAAATTTGTTGTTGAATCCAGGGTATGTATTTGGCCACATCAATATAGACGATGTAATTTGATGTAATTCGATTACTCAAATCTTCAAAGTGTCGTGATACGATGCCACGCAACTCATAACGGCCCGTGATATTGTTTAGAAGGACCAGACCGTTCCCACTGTAATTCTCTAAGTGACCGGCTTTGGCCAGCAAAGCAGCACAGAAGGTGCGATTCGATGTGATAGGGACGTATCTAGCATCAGTCAAGAGACAGGTATCCTGCAATTTGCGCAATTCACTCGATGCTTGCAATGACTCGGACAAATCCATTTGTCATGAATATATGAAATAAAGAATTATTTTATGTTAATGGCAATTAACTATAATAGCTCACCTGATTCACTATCTTCGTCTTCATCATCCGTTGTTCATAGATTTCAATACGATTCACCTCGTTTTGGTCCCATCCTGTGAAATACCCTATTTTATTAGCGACTTTTCTAAGATCGCTCGAACTGGACCACAGACAAAGAGGATTGATGGCGGGATTATACGTTATGGGCTTCCTGAGGGTCAAAATCGCCAGATCGGAGTCGGCGTTGAAAGAGTCCCTATAATCGGGATGAATCTTGTAGCTCTTGACTTCCGGATTGATAGTTGTGTCTTCGTGAAGCCGGTGCACCATTAATTGTCCTACGATCACCTCCAACAAATGAAGTGGTACATTACCGTTGGTACCAAAGTCCTTCAGACAATGCGCCACTATAAGAAGAAAACATATACATATGTATATGTATAAATTGTATTTTCTAACGATCTCTACTTTCTATCTGGAGACATCGTGTGATCCCTTCGCGTATTATATCATAGGTATGTGATACTCTCCAATAAAACTAGGTATCTTAATTTAGTAATGACAGAAAATAATTATACATGTATAAAACAATAATAATCAGTATTTACAATACCATAACTCAGAACTACCTATAAATATTGCGAGACATTCTGAATATATTAAAGTTTATTTCGAAGAGACTATTTCAGTAATTATGTATTCCCTGATTATATTTATGAATCGTGAATATCTATTGAAAATTAAGAAATCTCCTATTCCATTACTTAATTGAAATAGATAAAAATAGAAATCATACTATAGATACACGAAAGCAGATGTGAAACGAGAAGTTTACATGTTTTGGTGTACGGACAGTATTAATAATAATAATACTATTTCGATTAGCATACCTGTTATTATATGTCTGTTTGTCAAAAGAGAACCAGCGCATCGATATCCATATATTGCAATACCGTTGATTGTGGTTGTAGAAGAGAAGATTGCAACCACCCATGGCGAACGGACTGATGATGTGTTCTCAGCTTTTAAGAACAGTTTATCAATGTCGTAGTTAGTAATACCACACATGGAGCTGCTATCGTAAGTCGGATCGTCTATGAGGTAGGTGCTCGAATTTCGATACCACCATTGTAATTTCTGCGATAATTCATTGTCTGGCGGATACACAATATGCCCCAACTCGAGATTAGCTGTGATATTTCCATTTGAGGCTGAGACAAAGATAGATAATTATGTATATGATATAAAAAGGAAATTTTGATTGATTTAATGAGAGTTTAATGACTATGGCAATTATTTAGCATAACGGACCACCCTCTCCAATCTCGATGACCCTGACATACCTTGACGTATTTCGAAGAGATCTACAACTTTTGTTTAAAACTTTGTTCAACATTTTTAATGTTTGGTGTGATAAATGTTAAAAGCCATATTCTATTCTTTAAACATTCTTTGTTTACAACTTTTTAACATATGTTGTCAAGGTCATCGAGATTGGAGGGTGATCCGTTATACTAAATAATTACCCCATTTATTTATCTATATCCGCTATGATAGGTTTAAAAAGATATGAATAGAACTTAATTTAATGTAACTTGAAAGAATCAATGAGCGTGATTCTCGTTTGTATTTCCTCGAATATATGTAACACGTATATTGTATTTTAGGCGAATGCGGTACTCACCTCCTGGGCCAAGGCAATATAGATGATCGTTGAACCATACCGCGGATAATGTCGGCAACATGATGTTGGAAGGAAAATTAACCTGATACAGCAAAGGTTCGCCATGTTCAACAGCTATAATAGTCTCTGTTATCGGTCGTAGCAATTCCAATCGTGTCAATTCCGAGCTTCTATTCTAAAACACAACGATAATTAAGCTATTTCTAAAGTGCACAGATAACTAAGCACTCTCGATTATAAAATTAACAAGTAAAGTAAGATATGGGCTTTGAGAGTATAATGCGTTTAACAATGCGTTAGTTAATGTTATAGTAATCATTAATTAATAAGGTGCATAATTAGATATTTCGGTTCTATAATATTTTGAGACAACATCAGCGGTAATAGTACAATCGTTTTACGTGTTGCGCTATTTATTTCTATTATTTATTAATAAATAAAATTAACAGATTACAAATCACATAAAAATTAAAAATAGAGCTTTTAAATTATTTTTTGATTATCTCTTTCGAATTACAAGAATTATATTTTCCACTTTGTCTTATTAATATCTATAGATATTATACATTAAAAATATTCCAGTGTCCTACAATTCTCGATAATATTAAAATATACCAACCGTTAGCGGATCAGCGATAGTTTTTAAGGCTAGTTTTAAATGAAATTCATCAGTTCTTTGCGGAGATAGGATTTCGATTCGTCCAAATATCTTGCGTGTCTCAGGATCGATCGTGTATGTGAAATATTCCGAACACGAAGTTGTACCATGTACCATGGTACAAAGTAGGTGTGGCAGTAACACGAATAAGATAAATGTCTTAGCCATTTTGTAAGGCTGTATTACAAAACTAACGTAGATTTATGTTTTCTAAATCTTAATCTAAAAAACTTAATTTGTACGAATTCTTCTTACAATTAGTATCTGATACGACTTCAAGAAATAATTGCCATTAATAACAGCGATCAACATTAGCTTCATTAACTTTTTCTATTCACAGAAAAGCTTATCGATTATTATGAAAATAATTAAAAAGAATTAATAATTTTGTTGCAAAGAAAATTTAAAAATACTACAAATCTACCGTGATAATACAGTTATATGATTCATATGTGTGTACATATATGATTCATAAGATATGTTCAAAGTTAGTATTCATTATATTCTCATGCATTAAATGTCAGTCTCTTGTTGAAGCTAATATTATTTTACATAAAATGTTTAGCAAAATTTTCTACATTACATTCACAATTTTTCAAACATTGTAACAATCAGTAATTTAAGAAATGTTGAAACGTTGATACGAATCGGCTAGTCTATCAGTACACTCGAAACTACGTCTACATCTACGTTCTTAAGACAATAACAGAGTTGAGAATATTATAATTAATACGTATTGATTAAGTTTATTTTACGTAAAGTTATTTTCTCAATATATTAGGTTAAATTATATTCAAAATTTATACTATTAAATCCGTTTGTTAAACACTGTATTTATTATTGGCTGGATAATCTTTGAGAGAAGATTAAGCGTTTTACCTATGACCTATGTTTAACACATCACAAGTAGATTAGCTGAGATAATTTCACATGTGCAACTTCATTTATTTTCCATTTGGCATTTCAAAGATTTTTTAACGAAACGGAGGATACATTATATTACTAAACAGAGTTTGGGATATTATTGTAATGCGAAATATTGCATATAAACACAATAGCGAATATGAATTATAGGGACAACATGTATCCGCGATTAAACATCAAATCTCAAAAATTTTAAAGACACGTGTTTCGGGAAAATCATTTTAATCACTCACTTCTGTAGTCGTTGACATTTAAAAACAACACTTCAGTACAGATAATAGGCACATACCTATGAATCTATTTTTCCTGGTCTAGAAACACATATACATCTTGCACGATGATTATTCAACAATTGCAAAACCGGTTGCGGTTAGTATAGTCGTCATTTTACGTAACGAACTTTACACTCTGAGTAACGAGAATCGCCAAGACTCTCGCGTACAACTATCTGTTTTTATTTGTTAGGTTTCATTTTATTACATCTTTTTGCTGTCATAATAATAGTATTCCCTTATATCTTTCGCTGTTTTAAAGTACTGTACTGCGTTTTCTTATCGATACTTTCCTACAATATACTTCAAGCACGTTTCGAGTTACACTTCAATATATTCTCTTTCACGTCTTGCTTACTTATTTAACACTTATTATATTTGTACTTATTTCTTTCTGAACCACTTTTTTTAGACACCCTTGAGAAATATTCCAAAGTATACTTCGTAATGTATACATTAAAGTTTCACTACGATACCATTAAATCTCACTACGATATATCGTATAGTGTTCCACCTATTCAGAATACAAATTCTTGGATTGACGTTGCTACGCCTTCACTGTATCGTCACAAGACTAACCAGTTCTCTATCCGAACGCTTCGAAACTTGTTTATAGTTTCGGTGTGTAGTCGCGTTTGACTGGTGCGGTAGTGGGGTATCGAGAGGCAAGCAACAATGAGTCAATCCAATGCAATGATGTCATTTAGTTTATAAGGCAGCATCCAAAACCTGAATGCAATAAGGAAAAGAAAGGATAAAATGTCTGAAACTTTCCGTATATTATATGATTTCCTCATATTGGATGATTTCGTAAAAAAAACTTCGGCGGACGCACGTCAACAATGCAATTAATCGAAGATTATTGGCGTATATTCTCATGACATGCGTATCCACTAAATATTTTCCAATGCTCGCCAAACCTCCCACAAATTTTAACTATATATTTTCTATTCTAATAAGCTTACCCTAGATTCAAACATTTCGTTCTAATATTAAAAATTCTCCACGAGAAAAATTTTATTTTATTTTCACTTGATTTTATTGGGATTTTAGTTAGATCGCACTCAATAACAAAAAAAGACCGGTAATAAGTTCTCAAAGACTATAAAATAGAACTTTGTATTGCAAATAGATAGATTTTTGTATTGCAAAAATAATAACTGTGGTTACTGAACATATTTAGCATACGTATGTTTGTTGGTACGAAGTGATTTCGCGATAGAAAACGACATGATTGCCAACGTAAGCATTAAAACGAGATCACGAAGCGCTGTTCATACACTGTGATTCCAGTTCTTCTGCCTCTCAGTTTGTCTTATTTTATTACAATGTACAACATTTAAAAAGTAACAAGACGTGCGTATTAAAAAAAAAATTTATTAATACATGTGTTTTTTACCGAGTTTCGAAAAATATTGAACGTACGTATTGGTACGCATATTGTAACATGTATCGTAATTTTATTCTTCATTATTAATAAGTCTACTTTGGCAGTTAGTTACAGCGTAGCGTATGTTACTGATGTATTCTGCCTTAATATCAAAGTTGCCGCATTACAAGAGGAGAACTAGCCGTAAACAATCGAAAGTAAAATTCATAACTGTCTTCGGTGCAATTGTCCATAAATGCTAGTTACGAATAAACTTCACATAAAAATACTTATCTACAGCACGTATTGTATTTAGCGGCGAGAGATCAGCGATACGTCGAAATCTGTTGATGAATCCAGGGTACGTATTTGGTTATATCAACGTAGACAGTGAATGCCCTATCATCGCAAAGCGAAGAGTTATCTGTAGGACGCAAAGTCGATGCAAGAAGGCCGCGTAAGTGATAACGGCCTGTGATATTATTATAGAGCACTATCCCGCTCCCTTTGTCACCGTTGCAAGGACCGACTTCTAGCCCACCGGCGCAAAAGGTGCGCTCCGAAGTGATACCAAGGTATGCTTTATTCCTCCGGAGACAGGTCTCCTGTAATTTGTGCAACAATATGGATCCATTCACGCAATGAGATTCTATTATACATCGATAGCGCGGAATACATAAACATTTTTCATACATAGTTAAACTCTTGCTACTGTGCAAAATTGTGTTATATCGGAAACGTTGTCACCGACGTACCACCAAGTACGTGGGTGTCGTGTTTTAGGAAACCTCGTTTGTGATTGAAGTTTAATTTCTATATTGAACAAAGAAAGTCGAAAAGCCGGTTCTCAGTGTGCTTACTTGGCTCACTATCTTCACTTTCACTATCCGTTGTTCCCGAACATTACGGCGACCCGACATGTCTTCTCCCCATCCCACAACGTATCCAGTCTCCTGGACGATATCGTCGAGAACGTTCGAACCGTACCATAAGCAAATAGGTTTAATTAAAGGGTTGAACTCGATGGGTTTCTTAAGAGTCAAAACAGCCACATCGAAGCTGGCGCTATTGTCCTTATACACGAAGTCGGGATGGATAACGTAGCCCGCAACCTCCGGATTGGCGATACCATCTCTGCGAATCTTGCTCAGGTCAATGTGCCCTACAATTACCTCCAATACCTTGGCTGGTATAGTCCTATTAGAGTTATACATTACACAACGCCCAGCTATAAAAAGAACATATGTATACGTATGAATTACATTTTCCAATAATCTGTACCATCTATCCGGAATTATACTTGCTAGTAATATTGATTTTTTTTTAATTAACATACCTGTTAATATGTGCTTATTTGTCAAAATAGAGCCACCACACCGAAATTCGTATACTGTCTTATACATTTGGTTTCGAATATGGTAGACTGCAACTATCCACGGCCACTGGCCCGGCGATGAAGTTTCGCCATTGGGGATCAGCCTATTTGTGTTATCGGTGTAATAGCTGGTCACACCGCATTCGATGTTACTATGATAAGTCGGATAGATTATGCGATAGTTACTCGAATTTCGATGCCACGGCTGAAAATTCTGCGATAGCGGTACTTTGTTTGGCGGATACACAATGTGCCCCAACTCGATATCAGCTATGATATTTCCACCTGATTCTGAGATGAAACGTATTATATCTCTTATAAACCTAACAATCTCTTAAAATACAAAAGAAATTTTATTTTCTTTGACAATAGAAATAATTTCCAATCTAAATGAATCATCGTGAAATCCTTTTTACATAAAGATAGGAAATAATGTGCATGATAAAAAGGAAATTTTGATTGTTTTCATGACAGTTTTATATAACTGTTTATCTCCGCTATATCATCATTCACTTAGGCAGATCCGAGTAAAAATTTATATTACGTGATTTGGTAGAATTAATAATTGTAATACGTGCTTTCCTTTCCTCGAAAATATGTATATTGCAAAATATGCAAGACTTATAATTTAACCAAATACTCACTTTCTACACAATATTGCTGATTGTTAAACCATATCGTGGATAACATCGGAAAAGTGACGTCCGAGGGAAAGTAAACATGATACAACAAAGGTTTGTCTTGTTCAATAGCTTGAACGGACTCTCTTATCGACCGTGCCAATTCCAATCGAAACAACCTTCTCTAGAACGCAACGATAATTAAGCTATTTCTAATAAGTCGATAAACAAATTGTAAATTCTCTTGATAATGAAATTAACAGGTAAAGTTAAAGACGAGTTTTAAGAGTACAATGCGGTTAACAATACATAGGTTGATGTTATAACACTTTCTCATTAATAATGTACATAGTTGTACATAGTTTCTTATTTGAAAATAATATTAAAAAATATTTAAATTTAATATTAAATTATATTAAAAGAATATTAAAAGATACTTACCAGTGAATTGGCAGTAGTCTTTAATGCTATTTTTAAATGAATTTCATCATTTCCTGGCGGAGAAAAGATTTCGATCCGTCCAAATATCTTGTATGTCTTAGGATCGATCTCGTATGTGAAGTATTCCAAACACGAAGTTGTACCGTGTACCATGGTACAAAGTAGGTGTGGCAGTAACGCGAATGTGAGAAAAATCTTATGGGCCATCTTATGAGGTTCTGTTACAAAACTAACAATTCTATTTTCTAAATTCAATAGTAGAGCCCAAAATGTTTCAAAGTCTTTGTAGCTGAGATGAATTTCTTTAATGCAAAGTTTTCCGTGATAAAATTAATTAAATTCGATTAAAGATGTGAAACACTCAATGCATTCATTACTGAACATTGTATTTACTCTTAGCTGAATAATCATTGAGGAGAGGTCAAGCATTTCACCTATGTCTACGTCACAAGGGTATCAGTGGAGATTACGTCGCTTCTGCAGATACAATAATCTTATTTCCAGATGGTAAGAACATTTTGCTAAACAGTCAAATTCGTATAGACATAACTTTTTCATGCGAAATTGTTCTGAAAAGAGATATCCTACACACAATTGCATGAAGGTTCAAACGGAGCAGCGAATAATTTAATTCTTATTACTAATAAGAAAGTCTGGGATATTAATAGCGAGCAACATAGCATATAGAACATAGGGAAATATGTATGCGAAATCTATTTGATTAGGCAGACAATGTTAAAAATAAAAAATGTTCATGTCTTGTCGAGTACTTTCTCATATTCGAAAGTATTTCTACTGGAAAAAACTCACTAAGATTCATTAAAGACATCAACTTTGGACGATAAATAGATCAAATGTTAATCAACCGCACAATAGAACCGATATATGTGGGAGAAATCATTTTAATCGCTTATTTCTTCAATCTATTACACTATTCCGTATTTAAAAACACCATTCCGTATAGATAATAGACACCTGTCCTTGGATCTACCTTTTGCATTTTACAAGCGTGTATTCATCTTGCAGTATAATTATTCAAAGAGGCAAATCCGGTTGTGGCAAATATGGTCATCGTTTTATGTAACGAGTTTTAATCTCTATGAGAATCGACGCAACGCGTATAATTGCCTGCTTTTTTGTTATTCCATTTTATTACATCTTTTACTGTTATAATATTAACATTTGTACTTATTTTTCCAAAACACTTTTTTCAGACACCTGCGAAATATTCCAAAGTATTCGTCGTGATTTTGAAGTAAAATTCAATATAGCGACGACTGGTTTCACATAATCACGTAGCTAATTCTCAGATCGACGTTGCTTCACTGTATCTGCATAATACTATCTGTCAGAAAACTTCGAATCATGTTTATAGTATTCGTGTTGTAGTCGCGGTTGATTGGTGCAGTAGTGGTGGGGTGATAACATCGTTTCATGTCATTTAGTTTGTAAAACAGTACACAAATTATCCTACGTGAACACAATGAACAAAGTAGAGAAGCGTACCTCGAACATCTTTTCCTTTTTGATTTAACAGGAAACAAAATAGGAAATTCCCCAGACCTGAGTCACTCAGCTCGTCAACATTGCAACTATTACCTAAGAAGCCAAAAGTTTATTAATGGTGTTTTTTCGAGGACACGCGTAACCACTAAATATTTTTTAACGCTTGCCACATTTAATGCAATTGTTAAATATACTTTTACTGTTCCGTTAGATTTTATTCTCGGTTCAAGTGTTTTGTTCCAACATTTAAACAATTCCTGAAATCGCTCAAAAACATTATATTTTTTTACTCGATTTAATTCTAGTAGTGGATGTAATCAGAAAAACACAAATAAAAATTTTTAGAAAACTTATAAGCTGGAACAATGTGCAATTATTACAATAGTAGCAATAATAACGACTGTAGTTCTGCAATTTCTTTATCATATGTTATATGTTTGCTGATAGAATGAATTGTGTATTTGACGATCGGATACGATATGATTCCGAAAGCAGCGTTAAACCCACCAGCGAACTGCATATAAGTACTATGCTTTTCTCTCATCTTATTACCACGTACAGTGATGGACAGAATGGTGGCAAAACTTTTTTGAGTTCAGAAACGTGCATTTAGAGTTAGGGTTGCGTTCAAAATCTTTTTCTCTGAGGAATATTTTACTTGGTGGCCATTCCGAAACCATTTTCAACGTTCCTGCCTTCCCACGCGAATTTGTGCACGCATCAACACATTTATACATTTTACGTATACATACATGGGAAATGTACATATATTTTATGTGCCTATATTCATACGTGAAGGCATCAGTGATGCATAGTGTACGAACAACAAGAATTAAGAGATAAACGAGTCATATATTTTACGAAAAGGTTTATAATTTATTAATACATGTAATTTAAAATATTTTCTCGATTTTCAAAAAGTATTGAATATGTATTATATATCGATAAACATATTGTAACATGTGTTATGATTCAAATTCTTCATTATTAAGAAGTCCAATATAACAGATAGCTATATGTGTGGCAGCTTATTTCTTCTGTTTCGTATCCAGATTGGAGACACATTACAAGAGGCATGAATAACCAAAAACACAATTCATGATTGTTTAATCCTCACGTGTAACTGTACATAAGTACTGCGTCGTCGACTAAGCATTACATAATAAAACTTATCGATTAGCATGTATTGCGACGGAAGTCGAACGTTACGTTGAAATATATCGTTGAATCCAGGGTATGTATTTGGCCACATCAACATAAACGACGTATTTTTGTGGATCGCAATACGTAGTTTCACCTACTACAGTTCGCGAAACAACGCCACGCAACTCATAACTGCCCGTGATATTATTCAAAAGTATCAGCCCGTTTCCACTGTCACCGTTACAAGGACTAAATATGTCTAAGTTACCAGCGCAAAAGGTGTTATCCGACACGAAACTAAAGAATCTAGCATCAGTCCAGAGACAGGTCTCCTGCAATTTGCCAAACTTTGTCTTTAACTCGAGGTCTGCAATGACGCTGACAAATACATTTGTCACAGATATAATAAATAGCACTTTTATAATAACAATTAACTACTTACGTGACTCACTATCGTCGCCCTCACCATCCGTTGCTCGTTGACATCACGATGATTCAATGCATCTTCACCCCATCCTACAACGTATCCCGTCCTACTAATGACGTCTTCAAGTTGAGTTAAACCGGACCATAGACAAATAGGCTTGATAAGAGGATTGAACTCGACGACATTCTTGAGGGTCAAAACCGCGAGATCGGAAGTAGCTTGTAAATAGTGCGCATAATCAGGATGAACCACGTAGCTTGCGACTTTCCGATTGGCAGATCCATTTCCGCGCAATTCGTACAAGTTAAATCGCCCCATTCTCACTTCTAACATACTGGAGTGTAGTGTAGTGTTGTCAAACAAGTTTTCTTTCATGCAGTGCCCCGCTGCAAGGAAGAGATACATATCAATTATATTTTGTAACAATCCACACTTTAATCCGGAGGCATCTCGTAAGCTTCTTTCGTATTATACACATCATATAAATATGGGATACACACGAATTAAATTAAATATCTTAATTTAGTATGACAAAAAATAATTGTGTATACATACAAGAGATTTATAATAAATATTTGCACGATATTAATACAGCGCCCAGATCATCGTTTTTATAGATAACATGAGACATTCTAAACGTACTGGAGATAATCTCGAGGAAATATTATGCTTAAAACAGAAATGACGTTCTATGCAAACATATGTTTTTGCACTGTCATCATTAACGGCTCGTCAGTATTGTTTCAAGCCTTTGAAATATTATGCTATTTATGTAATTATTCCAAACACCTTAAGATTCCTATATTATGTTTCGATGAATTGTGAATATCTATCGAAAATTAAGAAATCCGTTCTTTTCTTAATCTTAATAGAGAAAAATTAAAATTTTACTATAAATATTCCAGAAAACATATGTAGGACGAGAAGCTAACTCCCTTATAATTATTTCAATATGTGGACTATGGAAATAGTGACTTTTCTCGATTAACATACCTGTTAATACATGTCTGTCTGTTAATAGAGAACCACCACATTGAAACCGGTATTTTATCTCAAACTGTATATTTCTAGTAACGTAGATTGCAACTACCCACGGCCACTGGCCTGGTAATGAGGTCTCACCGTTGGGGATCAGTCTATTTGTGCTATCGGTGTAGTAACTGGTAACACCGCATTTGGTGTTCCTATTGTAATACGGATTGTCTATGCGGTAGCCACTCGAATTTCGATGCCACGGCTGAAAATCCTGCGGCAGTGGTTCTTTGTCCGGAGGGTACACATAATGCCCCAATTCGATATTGGATACGATATTTTCACTTGACGCTGCGATGCAACGGAACATATCTCTTAAATAGCACATTAACCTGCCAGTGAGAAATGATTCGCCGATCGACGTGGAAACGACGTCGAATCGACATCGACACCGTCGAATTGACGTCGATTCGACATCATTTCGACGTCGATCGACGAATCATTTTTCACTGGGTTAGAATTCAAAAAGAGTTTTATTTTCTTTTGTGAATAGAAATAATTTTCAAGCAAAATACGTAACAGTCAAATTCTTTGTACCTAAATATAGAAAATGATATGCATGGTAAAAAGGAATTAGCGATTGTTTTAATAAGAGTTTTACTATTCATCTCCTACTATAGTAGGTTAAAATTTACATGTAAGCAGATGCGAGTAAAATTAATTTCCTTTAATTCGAAAGAATTAATAAATGTATTTCTCGCTTCTTTTCCATCGCATAATTGTATGTAATATTTGTCATGCATTTCAATGAAATAGGGTACTCACCTCCGGCGCCGAAGCAATATTCTTGATTATTAAACCATATCGCGGATAATGTCGGAAATTTTTCAGCCAAAGGAAAATTAATATGATACAACAAAGGTCTACCTTGTTGAATAGCTCGAATGGTCTCTTTTATCGGTCGTGCTAATTCTAATCGAAATAACCCTTGCTAGAACGCAAGGATAATTTAGCTGTTTCTAATACATAGAAAAGTAACTAACGATATGTTCTCTTAATAATAAAATTAACCAGCTCAATTAAAGGTAAGCTTTGAGAGTACAATGCAATTACGTGTAAAATTATATGAGTAAATAAATTAGAGTTATATCTTCAATAATAAAGTACATAGTTGAATATTTTGCCTCTAACATCCGCGATGTGGTAACATTTAAATCCTCTGACAGTTAAGCTATTTATTTTTATTCATTAGGAAATAAAATTAAGAGATGACAAATTAGACAAGAATTACAAGTACAATTTGTACATTAATCCTGTATTATCTGTGTCAGATCACGAGTAAGCTATATATTTTACTTGGTTTAAATAATATCTAAATATATTAAAAGATTATTTCACACATATGTATACAGGGTGAGTCACAACATTTGTGGCAGAGCTCGTGAGAAGGTAGAACGGATCGAGATGAACAGAAAAGTCCTGAACCATTTGCAATTTTCGCAATAGTTAACGAGTAATTAATTATCAAAAATCGTCGTCGTTGCCGGCGAGCTTACGTCGCCGCTCCCGCGTCTCGCGTCCCCACCCCTCGCCTGGCAATATCGATCGCCGTGCGGTCACATCTCGCCACGCGCTCGAATTGGGCTGTGGGCAGGGCCAAGACGACGATTTTTGATAATTAATAACTCGGTAACTATTGCGAAAATTGCAAATGGTTCAGGACTTTTCTGTACATCTCGATCCGTTCTACCTTCTCACGAGCTCTGGCACAAATGTTGTGACTCACCCTGTATACCGAACAGAAATTATTTCGTGTAAACATTTTCTTACGTATATATACTTGTGTTGTTTTAATATGTACTTCTTTTAAGACTCAAAGTAGTTTTATTTCTTTACAGTACTAATTACAACAACTGTACGATCCTCAGTAGAAAAAACTTTGCTTTTAAAAAGATTTTATTTTAATGTGCTAAAAGTATTCAAAATTGCCTATATTCATGGCTACAAACTTATACAGATGTCTCTTTATTAATATACCTTCTTTTAATAATATTACAAATTTTAAACAGATGCTTACCAGAGAATAAGTTGTAGTGTTTAAGGCAACTTTTAAATATAACATTTCGTCATTGTCTGGTGGAGATGGGATTTCGATTCTTCCCACTATCTTGAGTGTTTCAGGATGTATTGTGTATGTGAAGTATTTCGAGCACAACATTGTGCCATGCACCATGGTACAAAGTAGTTGCGGTAGCAACGCGAATAAGATAAAAATCTTAGACATGTTATGAGTCCTCCTGTTACAAAAGTAACAAAAATGTATATAATCCAAATTGTAGTGACGGCTCTCAATCAAATAAAGGTAGGTAGGGAGAAATGGCCAATGCGAGCCTTCAGCAGGTGTCCGTGCGAAATTATCGATGTTTTTTGAAAAAACACACTTTATTAAAAGATCCAAACGTTTCGACCCGTTTTTGGGTCATCCTCAGTGAAGCTGGGATAAAAGTTATGATACAAAGTAAGATTAAGCGATGTTACAACATATTAATATGAATTTTTTACAATGTAGTGATTAATACCTGATTATAAATAATTAGACTTAATCTAATCCACTGTTCCAC